TGTAGTTGTTGTAGTTGTTGTAGTTGTTGTAGTTGTTGTAGTTGTTGTAGTTGGCTCGGACGCTCTGTAAACGCGCGTTCAGCATACGCCGATTCCATCGGTATTTACAGTGTTTCGTGTGCTTCACATGCCGAAAACACCACTGCCACCGGTGATTCCGGCTGTCCACTTTTCACGTTTCTGTAAGTGGCTGAAACATCGGTATTTACAGTGCTTCGCGGCGCTAACATGCGGAAAACACCGGCATTGCGGTGTTTCGCGTGGTTGGCATGCCGGAAATGCTTACGTTTCTGTTTCCAGTCCGTGCGATTGGCCAGAGCATCCATGCCCGCACGATGATTAATTACGTCCGTGTGACCAGTCCGTGCGATTGGCCAGCGCATCCATGCCCGCACGATGATGACGTCCGTGTTTCCAGTGCGTGCGATTGGCCAGAGCATCCATGCCCGAACGTTGCTTACGTCCGTGTTACCAGTGCGTGCGATTGGCCAGAGCATCCATGCCCGAACGATGCGCTTACGTCCGTGTTACCAGTGCGTGCGATTGGCCAGAGCATCCATGCCCGAACGATGATTACGTCCGTGTTACCAGTGCGTGCGATTGGCCAGAGCATCCATGCCCGAACGATGATTACGTCCGTGTTACCAGTGCGTGCGATTGGCCAGAGCATCCATGCCCGAACGATGCTTACGTCCGTGTTACCAGTGCGTGCGATTGGCCAGAGCATCCATGCCCGAACGATGATTACGTCCGTGTTACCAGTGCGTGCGATTGGCCAGAGCATCCATGCCCGAACGATGATTACGTCCGTGTTACCAGTGCGTGCGATTGGCCAGAGCATCCATGCCCGAACGAAGATTACGTCCGTGTTACCAGTGCGTGCGATTGACCAGAGCATCCATGCCCGAACGATGATTACGTCCGTGTTACCAGTCCGTGCGATTGGCCAGCGCATCCATGCCCGAACGATGATTACGTCCGTGTTATCACTCGCTCTTTGCGCTTGGCTGCCAGCCTCGGATGAGGGTTTAGTTAGTTGTCCCCTTTTGATTCGTCACCGTGTTGCGCATCTCTGGCATCGATGCACCGCTGGCGCTGGCTGCAGTAGGGGACTACTTCTGGTGTCTTTTCAGGGTTACGTATTGACTGCGCCTTTTTCTTAACGTATGTAGCAGCTTCGAATATCTGTCAGCTTGCTGATGTCACCCTGCAACATGTGACGAAGAAGTTTACCTGTCTTGGAGAACGTACGTGTACGTACGTGTTCAAAGCAAAGCAACAACCGCTTATATGTCAGCCAGTCTGCTGTTTCTTTTCCACGCAAACCATCTTTTTTTCAGCCTCCTGCACACAAAACCAAAAAAAAACAAAAACGCAAAAAAAGCGTCGGCAGGACGTCTCGAGCGAAACGGTCATTTTGGACGGAACTTGACATGGTTCCGTCCCCAAAAGAAACCAAAAAAAAAACGTTGTCACGCACTTTCAGTTCTAGGACAGGTGTATTCCATCCCACGCAGGCCGCGCGAAATGCATTTATGAAACCCCCCCTAAAAGTGCACGTGCCGTGAACACGCTTCTCCGCGCGCGTTTACAGAGCGTCCGCGCGTTGTAGTTGTTGTAGTTGTTGTTGTAGTTGTTGTTGTTGTTGTTGTTGTTGTTGTTGTTGTTGTTGTTGTTGTTGTTGCTGCTGTTGTTGTTGCTGTTGTTGTTGTTGTAGCAGAAGCAGTCGAGGTACTAGAAATTTAGAAATAGTAGAAATAGTAGAAATAGTAGAAGTAGTAGAAATAGTATAGAAATAGTAAAGAAATAGTATAGAAATAGTATAGAAATAGTAGAAATGAAGATGATTCTGATCTTCCCGACCAAACCTACCCTGTACCGAAGCTCAAGCTGTTGTTCTTTTGACTCTGAGTGTCTTAGTACGTGCAGGGTTGTGATGCTGCATCACTTGCAAATTTAGGAACAGCGTCTCCAAGATTAGGAAAAGAGCTATTTCATTCTCATGCAGCAACAAGCGTTTGAATGGATCTGAACTAGAGAAAGTCCTAAGTCCTAAAGTCCTAAATTGCATGATTATCTCCAACATCCAGTGATGAAAGGACAAGATCAGCAGCCAGGTGATAGTTTGTTGTTTTCCGAAGCTCACAGGTCAGCAAGTGCTGGGGAACCCTTCAAACAAAGAACCCAAGGTCAATAGATTTTGTGTTGCACTACTGACAGCCGTTTCCGCGGCCCCCCGCTTGCTTGGTGATGGACCCTACCTCAATGAGTACGTGGCCGACCACAGCAACTTCAACCTCCCCTGCGCAAGGTAACGTTACGACCATTATGCCCCACCACTCCTTCACTCCTTCACGTGTGACCCTTTTCCCCAAACCCTGCTTGCTGAGATGAGACGTGGCACATGCAACAGCACTTTCTGAATCCGCCGGCAAAGGCTTCCCTGTCGGAAGTTCGGGCGCAGTGCGCTGCCAGTGGTGAACCAGCCTTGCATCACGCTTGCCATATGTTGCTGCCGGACATCAACGTGAGAGAAAGCACACCAGGAGTCTGATACAAAGGGGGTTGACATCTGCTTCAGACACAACCCTACTCTCTGAGAAGAAAGCCCCCAGGGGGCCAGGGTCCCTTTGTCTATTCTTGCCCATCGTTATTGATCGTCATGGCAGCACGTGATGTACACCGGAATGGTTGTGACCAACATGTCACCAGCAGAGGGACTGGAGTCCACTGGAGTCTTTGGGTGCCCTGGGGCCACATCTTCTGGCTTGAAAATGGTTTACGAACCTCTGGTTTGGTGAGGTTGAAGAATTTGGGCCTTTTTGAGTTCTGTGCGCCTTGCTCGGCGCGCTCCACACCTTGCAAGGCGCACACCCGCTCAGCCAAGATGCGGCTCAGCCAGTAGCCTATGAGGTGCACCGGCACCTTGTATGCAAGGAAGCCGCTATCCGAAGATCAGATGAAGCTCTGCTACAAGACATCTGGCTGCACCGGAACCGTAAAGGACGCTGCCAACCGTACCCGCGAATGCGCAGTCACAGAAGTGCTGCACAAAAACACCGACAGACTTGCAGTCGGCATATGCACAACTCACAGGGCCAGCACAGCCATGTCAAATGGCCAAAGGAGTCTACCCGCGCCTAAAGTTATTCCGGGAAGAGATGGCATGAAATTTCAGAAGCTTGCTCCATACTTTCGACACCAGTTGCTTAGCAGTCGTTCGCGGGCGTGTCTAAACAAGCCTTCCCTTTCATTGTGTAGCGGTCGAGGTGCCACCAGGCCGATGGCTGAGAGGCAAACGAGAGGTGAACCCCCACCCAGCAGCGTGTTCCAACCTCCCGTGGCATGATGGCATGAAAAAAATCGGGCCCTCTTAACAGAAATGCCCCTGCCGGGTCATCATCGGTCTACTGAGTTTCCATGAATGATTGTACCGGCCCCTTCCTTGGACTACGCTCAAGCAATTCCCAGCATGCGATGCTGAAACACGTCGTGCTCCAGCAACCTGCATCACGGTATGCCTTGCTCACTCAGACTCAATCATGGTAGGCTGCAGTTTCTTATCCTACGAACGGCAGATCCTTGCCTGACCCGGGGTCGTGAAAGGTTCGTGAGGAAACCACCCACATCGACAACACGTAGAGCCTGCAGCCGCGTGACTTCCCCCTAGTATCCGAGGGCCCTATAATTACCCAACTGAAGGAGGCGGAGGGAGGGTCAAGACAGTCTAGGGATGAAAAAACCCTAAAATTGTCTGAAAGATGCTGCAACATTTTCAAAGGCATACCTGGCATACCTGCCGAGAATGACCTGCCAACTAGTAAGCCCCATATATCCTGAAGCCCACAACCCCCCAAGCAAATCCGCATACACCCTAGCTACCCTCAACCCTACACCCCTCAATCCTGAATCTGGAAGCCGTCCCGGGGCATTTGCGCCGAAGAACAGACTCAAAACAGCTGCCCAAGGCATCCGAGGCGAACGTCGTTTGAAAAGGACTGGCGGAGGCATGAAACTCAAGGGTGGGGTTTACGAACATAGGGGACCCCCCAAATAGTAGGATTCCCTTATATAATAGGGAACCCAACAAGGCACCCCAAACTCGGAAACTACCAGGAGAGGTTACGGTTAGGGGACCTGGTACAAGCCCCGAGTCATCAATGCATCCGGGACACAAAACATGCAGGAACCACAGCCGGTGTGTGGCCGCAAAGACACCCCACCTGGGAGAAGGCCTACTATAAACCCTAAACAAAACCCTAAACCCCAAACCCTGGCTTCGTTCAGAAAGGAAGACTGGCCCTGGAGACTTCTTGCTGCGCTCACTGGTGTTCCGCGAGGTTGAGAGCGCTCACGCCCTACAATTTTGAGGCGGGGTCTCTCGCAAAGATCATGGCGCACCATAACCTGAGCTCTCGGCTTAGGGTTTCGGGTTTAGGCTTTCCAAGGCAAGCTGCCAGGAGTGGATCTCCCTGTGGGTCTTGACATTTGCCAAGGCTTTAGGCCAATCCACCTCGGCAGAGAAGACCACAAGCCGTTCATGTAGGGATTAAGATGGCGCAGGGTTTACGGTTTAGGGTTTAGGGTGGTTTAGGGATGTTTAGGGCGGGTAAATTGAACAATCCTGCTTCCTGGCTATGGCGAGCGTGACCCGGCTATACAGACGCCATGTTCACCAAGTTGCCGTTTTCAGCGCCTCGTACCGAAGTGGCTTGGGAAGGTTGAAGAGATTCCTGGCGTGGTAGAGCGCTGGCATCCGCCTTCACCCGTTGCTAAGAAGGGCCTTTGAGGCCTTGATCTCCTCAGTCCCTGCTCTCCGCAGATTCCAAGAACTTACTGTTGGCTAGTAGGGAATGAGGGAATGAGGGCCCTAAAAAAAAAAATATATATATATATATATATATATTATATATATATACCCTTTTAAGGGATGGTATAGGGTACCTCATTCCCCTATTCCCTACTAACCAACAGTAAGAGAAAGGGGAGCCTTTTCAGGTTCAGCCGAGGCGCGGCAGAGCTGCCTGAAGCCGCCAGGGATCCTGGAAGAGCTCATTCCTTGACGGGCTGAGCTTTGGGGGGCTTAGGGTTTAGGGTTTAGGGTTTAGGGTTTAGGGTTTAGGGTTTAGGGTTTAGGGTTTAGGGTTTAGGGTTTAGGGTTTCAAGGGGCTAAATTGTACCCCACAAGAGGGTGCAAGTTTGCCCCCTTTTTTTTTAAGGGTCATGTTGGGATGTTCCCTCTGACACTAACAGTCCTTAATAGGGATTATAGCACCCCCTGTTATAATATATTATGACCCTCTTACCGTATATTATATAATCCTACTATGATATCTCATCATCCTATGAAGGACGGTTTGTTTCAATCGGGAACATCCCAAGGGTCATGCCACGGCTGCGACCGGGCGCACAAGCTAAGCCCAGGTCCAGTCGTCATGGTTCGCACCTCACAAGGGCAAAGCAACATATCTTGGGTTTAGGGTTTAGGGTTTAGGGTTTAGGGTTTAGGGTTTAGGGTTTAGGGTTTAGGGTTTAGGGTTTAGGGATTCAAGTCTTGTAACAATCACACCCCTAAACCCAAGCTTCAAGTCTGGTACGCTGACTTGATTCACGGGTTTCTGGGCTTTCTGACAACCCCAAAACCCCAAACCCCCAAACCTAAATCGCCGAAACCCTACCAAGGGCTGCACAATCTGCTGGCAAGTAGGTGGCGTATCCTTCCTTGAGCACCTTCTCCTCGGCTTGACTCGAAGAGAAAACACCAAAGTTTTAATTCATGTGTTTTCGGGAGGACCCCAACATAGCTACCCTAGAAAGCCCACAGCTGATGATTCTGAATTTGCAGCATGTCTGAAAACCACGAGTTCAAGTGCGGATGAAGATTCATCCTTCTGCTTCGGCGTTGGGTTCGATGGGCCAACCTTGACGTAGTGCTCCTCGAAGATCACCTGCGCTGCGACGCAGCGTGCTGCAGCTGCAAACTTGCAGGCTTGACAGGGGCCTGTAAACATGCCTCGCCTTTGATATTGACTTACTACTCTCTGACTATCTGCGTGGCAACAGACTATAGCATAATGCTCAGCGGGTATGACGCATTCGTGGAATGAGCGTGCAATCGTCACAGGTCGCCTTGTAAATGGGGCGCACGATCTTCACCAGGAAAACTCCACTCTCGCCAGTCTGCTCCTCTCATGCTTGGGCATCTACAGGGTTCAAGGGCCCTGTTGGCCCCAGGAACCAAAAAAGGGGTTGCTAAGCAAAAGAAAACAGAGTCCCCTTTTGCGTGTTTGTTGCTTGCTGTGTTTGTAAAGCGCTGTGGGCATGACAGCTGCTGTCCCCCAGGAGCGGCGACCAAACGAATTTCTGTCCAACACGGCTTGCGTACGCAAGCCTAAACGCTTGGACTCTTATCCACGCGCCAGCTTGCGTTGCTGCGGCTTACTGTCATATTCTTGTAATTTGATATTTCATTATTCTATGTAATATTGTACTAGTAGAAATAGTAGAAAGTAACATGGTAGAACGCTCGTATATTCATATATTAGCATATTCTAAATACAACCGTAAGGCGACCGTAAGGTACCAGTCGTTTTTGAGACGCCCCATGGCTCCTCACAGTGTGTCGGCTCCGCATCCAGCGCGAGCTGTGTGATGAAGCAGACCATCTCTGGCATAAAGCGTAGGTTGCCTACCGCTGTACTCTTGGGACTCTGGTTCTGAGGGTTTAGGGTTTAGGGTTTAGGGTTGAGGATTTAGGAATTAGGGTCAGGGGCCTGCCTGCTTCGCCCCAGATCAAGAGGAATGTCGCCACTTCCTGCTCAGAGAGGCCGGGCAAAGAAACCGTCTCAGGAAATCCGAAATTCATTCTGAAACGCCACCCCCCCCCCCCCCCCCCCGCACACATTCCCTCCATGAACTCAAGCCCTCGAGTCCCGAAAGAGGGTCCCGGAGTTCCCCCTCCCTTCTGCTCTCCTCTAGCTTCGCCAACGTCGGTCCGAATGCTGCAAGGTCTGCTGCAGACTCGCAAAGGCACCACTTCATCTCCACCTGTCGTTGAACGGCCCTAAACCCTAAACCCTAAACCCTAAGGTTGCTGCGGGTGAGTTTCAACTCGCAGGGCGGTTGAGAGAGTTTCACATTGACAGTTCTTAAGTGAATGTGTGCTCGAGTGAACATTCGGGCACCCCCGAAAACCATGACGCTAAACCCTAAACCCTAACAACCCCTGAACCCTGAACCCTGCACCCTGCACCCTGAACCCTCAACCCTAAACCCTAAACCCTAAACCCTAAATCCTAAACCCTAAGCCGACTACGTCACGGCACACCCGGCCTCCCGGGAAGTGGACATGCTCAGGGAGCCCTGGTCGCTGTGCAGTGAGGAGTCTTTGTGTTGTAGGGACCTAGATAATTGGTTAGGGTTTAGGGTTTAGGTTTTGGGTTTAGGGCTTAGGGCTTAGGGTTTAGGGTTTAGGGAAAGGGGTTAGGCGGGTTTAAGGTTTAGGGCTTAGGGTTTAGGGATTAGGGTTTAGGGTTCAGGCTGGTTGTCAAATTTGGGGTCCCTATTATAATACGGCACCGAATATTCAAGATAGGACTAGGGGGACCCTTGGGGATATTGACCCTCTCAAGAAGGTCCCTGTTTAAGAGAGCAAGCCAGAAGAGGGTTCAGAAGGGCTCCCTTTTCAGGGAACCCTTATCCTACCTAGGATTTTTCGGCAATAAGATGTACCCCAATTGGTTGTTTCCCAAATAGGAGGATACCCCTTTTATACCCCAAATGGAATGGAGTCCCCTTAAAGGGACCCCAAAAAAGGTACCCCTATTTTCGGAAACCCCCAATTGGCTCCAACTTGGCACCAAGACCGCGCTGCTCAAGAAAGCGCTGGTTCATATTGCAGCCGGTGCTCTCTTTAATGCGAGAGGTGCTGCATGTAATGCCGCGGGATTCTATCAGAGCCCATTCAAAAATCGTGCTTGTGCAAGGACCATTGGGGCATTGGCTGCGCCTGGTATCGCGGAGAAGCATCTGAGCCGTCTGGTGCGGACACCCCCAGCTGGACGCCTGCACAGGTGACCAGCACTTACCCCGATTTGTGCTGGCTTTGTGGCAGCACCCCAGCTGCTACAAATAGGAGCCATTTCGAGCCTTGCTCCTGAAATGTGGCTCGCCACCATCGCAGACCACGAAGCAAGTCCTCGCTTGGAGGGGGGTTGGTTCTCAATGCCTGAACGGTTGAGTTTTCCACGAGTGCCCGCTCGAACTTGAAGATTTCTTGGAAGGAGTGTGACATGCAGGATGCATTTAAGATGTGAACTGTACGAGACTTGGCCTTGGCCATGCGTCATATGCAGTCAAGATCATTCTTTGTTCATCTGCCAGCTACTGAGAACGCATCGCAACGAGGCCTCGTGGAGCTCATCCATTCCTTTCTTGAGAAGCTCCTTCATCGAAGCATGCCAAAAGTCTCTCCAGGGAAGCTATGCGGGCATTTCTCCAAATTAGGGTCCCCGTTTCGGGCCCCCATAGACTACGGCACCCTAAAAAAAAACAACGAAAAGGGACCCGAAATTAGAGCCGACCTTTATGGCCCGGATCCAAACCCGAAACCCCAAACCCGAAACCCTAAACCCCTAAACCCCTAAACCCCGAAACCCTAAACCCTAAACCCTAAACCCTGAACCCTGAACCCTAAACCCTAAACCCTAAACCCAAATTTAGAGAGCTGCCCCTAAACTCTCTGTTTTGGCGCCTCCTCGAGGCTCCTGCAGCCAACCCTGTCGTTCCTCGCTCGAGCGGAAGGAATCAACGGAACTCCAGGGTTTAGGGTTTAGGGTTTAGGGTTTAGGGTTTGTAAGGTTTGTAAGGTTTGTAAGGTTTATAGGGTTTATAGAGTTTATAGGGTTTATAGGGTTTGTAGGGTTTTATAGGGTTTATGAGTTTATAGGGTTTACAGGGTTTATAGGGTTAATAGGGTTTAGGGTTTAGGCTCATCCCAGCATAGCCAATAGAAATGGTACAATACCTTTCGGGACGCATACACGGATGGTACGCGCGATGACGTGAGGATGAGGATGATGCTTATTATGATGCTGCTGATGCCATGTAGGCAGAAACAACCCACGTGGAAAAATAAGTTGTGGCTACTGAAAAGCAAAAAAGCAAAAACAAGTCATAAGCAAAATGTATATACATAAAAATTAGCTCGATCTCTCTACATATCTATATATGCTTATAGTAGTGTGTATATATATTAATATATATATATATATATGTGTGTGTAGTATATACACATTAATTATATTTAATTATCTGCTGGCTGGTGCAGTGCCAGGCAGCGGAGGCAGCTTCAGGCGGTCAGCCACGACGGCACAATGAGAACGCCAGAGGGAGAGCATGTGCTCGAACTGACATCTCACCGAGTCCTCTGTTGGGTCTAGGGTTTAGGGTTTAGGGTTCCAGGACGACCCAGCTGTCCGTCTGACATAGCTGCTTGAAGAAAATTGCAACTCTCACACGAAACGGAGCCTCCTGGAATCCGAAAGCCGACTGCAGCTTTGCGAAGGCTGTGGCAGCCTTCGCTCCACACATGCACAAACTTGTGCATGTCATGTTAAGGCAGCAAACGACCGGCAAGTGTTGGATCTGGTCTCGCTTTGGTAACTTTGAGAGGGTCAGAGGGGCCTTTCGGGCGTGGGGAGGTGGGAACTCTCGCCTGATCTCGCCAGAAGTCGCCTTTCGGCAGGGTGCGAAGAGATGTGCCTGCTTTGGGAGCTCGTTGGGGATCCACACGCTCAGGGAGATCCACACTGCAGCACAAAATGCCCGACTCAAGCCCTGAGCATCGCGACTGTGTGCCGGCCTCTTTGCTTCCCTTAGCTCTTGGAAATCTGGCCAACACTACTCTCACCTGATCCCCCACCACCCTGCCACGTGACGTGGGACAACCCTTAAAGCACTCTGCCCTCCCCAAAATTCTGACAATCCTGAGACGCCTGTAGCTAGCGTGACGATGCTCAGGGACGAGGCACACTCCTACAGGCCATCGTGCTGCCAGGGAGCTCCCATCGCCACTCCAGATTTGTTTGAGATCGCTCATGAGAGCCGTGTTTGGCTCCACACCACCTGGCATGCTTGGTTTTGAGCATTCCTGGCCCGGCATGGAAGCCCTTCTTTGAACACCAGACACCCGAAATCCCCGAAAAGCCCTCTGGCCTCGCTCCATACTTCCCACATCACCGACTGCGCAGGGCTCCACTGCCGGCGGCGTGCGGAAGAGGCTGGGAGCAAAGAACGACCTTCGCTTTACGGGTTCGGGCTTGGGGGGGGGGGGGTGTTTCCGGTCTGTTAACAAGGCTTTCCTGACAAGAGCCAGTTCTGCACCTGCGCGCAGGCCCAAGGCTTCATAATCATCCAAGCTTCGATTTACCTGCGGCCGAATCTGATGCTGCATCTGAAGCTTCAATAAGTTACGGCTTCATGCAAGGCATGCCAGGCTGCTCCACGCAAGATCCGGAACCGGGCCGACGACCGCAGCACTTCTGAAACTTTGGCAAAACAGTCGCAGCCACTGCAGCGAAGACAGCGGCAAAGAATACCTGGGGGTTAAGGGCGGAACCCACCGAGATTCTTCAGCCCCCCCAAAAGATCGAGATAGATCTGACGCCCTTCGATTCCTAAGCCACCCCTCCCCCTTTCCGCCTGCGCCCCCCTTAAGAATCCTCCCAACTGCTGATCCCTAAACCTTAAACCCTAAACCCCAATCCCCTTGGAAGCTGAAGGGCAGACATCCGCGCCAGCTTGGACTCGCCGCGGCTGATGCAGAAAGGTGGTCCCGGCACGTTGCAACACTCTCGGCTCCTGCGCCAGCGCCCCAAAGCATGTCGGGGGGGGGGGGGGGGTTCTTTTGAATATGTATTGACGGGGTGAGTTTTTCGCGAAGGGGTCCATGAAGAAGGCTACCGATGAAGGGAGTTTCGCTACTAGTAGCTATCACCCTACCTCATGCCCCCTGACATTGCAACAGCAAAGTGTCCCGATGCCTCATCAGGACATCGCCCCAAGCGCAGCAAGCCTGACTGGCCGCCTTCATGGCGTTGGTCTCGTTCGCGGCCTTGACAGCAGTGTGCAACTGACAGGCGGCAGCGTCTTGGCTGAAGCCACCAAATGTGGGAATTTCCCATCTGCTTCTTTTTTTTTTGGAAACCCCGAAAAGGGGGTGCCCCTACTTTCGGGGTCAAAGACCCTAAACCCTAAACCCTAAACCCTAAGCCCTAAACCCTAAACCCTAAACCTTAAACCCGAAACCCTAAACCCTACATTAAAGGCTTCCAAAGGATGTCCGAGCCTGAGCGCACATCTGGAGAGCCTCCTTCATCCGCTCGGTGAAGGACCCGTCCACTTGCTGGGCGCAGAGAGAGTTGGCAGACATTGGCAACCAGGGTGTAGGGTTTAGGGTTTAGGGTTCAGGGTTGAGGGTTTAGGGTCCAGCACGGGCAATTAGTCCCTATAATCCCCATAATCAACCCTCTAAAGGGCCTTTTTAAGGGGTTATAGGGTATGATAGCCCGTCCTGGAAGGGTGACTTTGGCAAATGTCCTCGTGCGTCCTAGATGAAGACGTGACGACACTCAACTGGTGACGCTGATATAATAAACAGCCATACAAGTTGAGAACCTCATTCGATGACCCAGTCGAACCCTCTCGAATCACTCCGCTGCCGGCTATGTTACGGACATCGCCTCCCCATACTCGCGCGCCAACTGTCCAAGGTCGCCATTCGCCTTCCGAATTCAACTCTGCGACACCTGCTACTGCATATTTGCCACCGTTCTGTCTGTTAGTTGCCAAGGTGTCTGTCTTCAACGCATGATCCCAAGGCAGCATGGCAGCATCACCATCGAGGTTTTCAGGGTCCGGTTGACTTGCAAACCTTGACATCTATTGAGCTTCACCGGTTCTCCAGTGTGGATCATCCAAGTGATTCGACCCCTGTCCGTCCATTTCGGTGCCAAAAAAGGGGCCAGTTGCGACTTCCTCTGACTTCCATAGGCCCGCAAACACGAAGGCTTACCTCCCAACTCTGTGCCGTCGTGGGCCCCCGAAGAGCGCAGGGACCCAGAAGCTGACACCCGAAAGCATCCATCGCTTGCACCGTATTACTCCGTACTTGAGACCTGGCTTAGACCTCACCTGGCATACCTGGCTGCATTTCATACAGCTGCCTCGTCATAGTTTTGCAGTTATTAATTGCCAAGTAATTCTTGGCAATTACACGAAGTAGTCCTAGTGGTGCGTGGCGGCTTCTGTCTTGCAAATTTTGTTCCGAAGAAGCCAATCCGAAAAGGCCAAAAAAGCAGCACCTCATTGATGCGCTCGCAATTCCATCTCCGCAGCGCCAGAAGCTGCGCGTCCGACGTATCTGCATCCTGATGTGCAACAGCTCCGGCACTTAGTACTACAGGCGACTGGCAGCGCCATATGAGGCCCTGATGCCTTGTCCCCTCCAGCTTCAAGCTTCCGAAAACTCGTTGAATCCAAGCTGCAGGAGCACAAGTACAGCTTGTCGCCGCCGTTTCAAACGACCATCCCTGTGCCGAATCACTCGGGTGGGCGTCTTCATTCGAATGCAGCATGGCAGTACGTATGCTTGCTTCGGCTCTCTGCACCATTCTGCCTAGTCTGCAGCAAGAACGAGGTCTGCACTGCAGCATGCAAAGTCGCAAAGAAAGTCTCAATGTCAGTTTCTGCGGGCTGCCCCAAGAACGAAACGCACACCTGTAGCCGAATCTACGGCCCCATGCCTCCACTTCGACCGCATCAAGGTTACTTTGCACCTTAAGCCAGTCGGCAAGATTCGAAGTGGCTTTTCCGAATCAGCATTAAGGCAGCTACATGCCTAGAGGCCTAGAATAAGTTGAACAAGCCACATGCTAGCCAGGCGAGCATACCTCAAGCACACCAACCTGCCCACCCACCAGCTGAAACAACCTGACTCAAACAGCAGCAATTTCAGAAGAGTCGGTGAGTTGAGGATTCATGAGAATTCTACAACGTGCCCAATAGCCCGATGACCCAATGACCGACTTTGACTGCCTGAGACTGTGCTTGGTGCTTCGCCTGGTGGAGAACCCGCGGGTCTCCAGCGGCCACGACCGCCAGCAGGGGCCATGTGCGGGGCATCAGGGCCCTGCAGCCCCCCGACTGTGGGCTGATGGAGGGTGTCTATGTGGGATTTAATGGAGGCTTCTGAGGAGGCCTACAAGGTGTGTATGTGTGTGGGCTTGGGCGGGGAGGACCTTGAAGATTTCAACATCACTGCACCAACTCCTCGCAAGCCAGTCGCTAGGGGACAGGATTGAGGATCCTGGCACTGCTTGTGTCAGTCATGTCCTTGATGCAGCAGCTGGTGGAGATAGATTAACACAACTGCTTCAAACCATCAGCCAATTGCTCCAACACACTCGCCTTAAGAAGTCGAGAGCGGTCTCCCAATGTGCTTGCAGGCAACATGCTGCAGGCATTCTCAGCAGGAATCGTCTGGGAGTCACGCGGATGCCAGCTAGCTACTTGAGGTCACCAGATGTCACCAGTGGGAAACAATGTCGTTTTAGACATGCTTTTCCGGCCCTGACTAACGTCAAAAGCTCCTGCGAAGTTGCCATCCGGCGCCAGCATTGTGACCAGCCGGATGAATGGCGGCATGACGAGGGATTTTTAGCTGGTTGTGTTTATACGCGGACCCAATCACTGAAAGCCCTACTAGCTAAGTTCTGCTGCATCCATCAGGCTCGCCACCAAACGTCTGGCTATCTTCGCTCTGAGCAGTATGCACTAGAAGAAAAATTACTCCGGCACCTGCGCAGAGTCGACGCAGGCCCTTGCGATTCCTTGCTTTATCTTGTGCTAGAAGGAACACGATCAGGTCCTCTCACACAGGGGCGCCGATCGAGCAGCAAGGCAGCATGAACGCGCAGCCTCCCATGAGCAAAGCCGCTTCTCAAGCTGAATATGTCCGAAGGCGTTTTAAGCACAAGCATCTGCAACGGCACTGCCCAGCAATAAACCAACACCAAAGAGGCAACATTCAGCAACTTGCAGCCAGTTCCTCGCCTGACCCTCACGGGCTCGGGACGATGATGTCGCCGTACGCGGCTCGGACTTTCTCCAGGGCTTTCTTGGTCAATCCCTGCCAGCGCCCAGCAGTGGAGCAACCGGAAAAGGCCCCCACCCTGGAGAACGATTGTTAAAGCTTGGGGAACCATACTGCTGCTGGCACATCCGACCCTTCCACCGCCCAGTGCGGAAGCTACAAGTGCGACCAGATGCATCATGGAGAGCCAGCCTGCTTGGACGCGCTTTGCCGGATGAAGTCTTTCTTCGGCCAGTCTTCTGGATTCCACATCTCAAACCTGTGCGGAGGTCGCCCTGCACTCAACTTGCGAGTAAGATGCTACCTGATGCCAAAACTCCCATCGGTAACCCTGTACCTGGACCCCATCGAGGATTTGTGCTCGGGCTGGACCTCTCATTCTTTATAGGTACAGCTAAGGAAACATAACATGCTATGTGTCCTCGCAGAAGAATTGTTTTTGTCCCAGCCACGACTGTACAGACTTTGGTTAGCAACCGTAGCTAGCAATGTTTGCATCGCATTGAGCCCCCATACTGCAAGTCAATTGTAGCGCCTTGAACCAAGCATACTACAAGCTATTTGGCTTCGCCTTCGATTCGAGCAAGTCGTTTTAAAGGGACAAATACCGGGGATCATTCCGCAATGCTGTGAGAATCACATGGTTCATTTCCATACGACGACAGCTTTCCACATGCGATTTCGAGGATGTCTGTCAGGCAATCCTTATGCATGGCTTTGCGCCGCACTGTTTCGCATCGATTCGCATCGCGTCCGGCGCCTGATCTGGCCGTTTTGTCGTTACCGGGGGTCGCGAGACACTATAGCCTGAAGGGCTTCAACCTCAAAAGACCCCTAAACATCCCTAGCTATATAAACCCTAAACCCTAAACCCAAAACCCTAAACCCTAAGCATCCCTAAACCCCCTAAGCATCCCCAAACCCAATAGTGTTTTTATAAGCCCTCCGACGAGCCCTAAATCTGCCAAGAAGCGCCGTCTGGCAGGCAGCCTGGAGGTTCATCGCCGGTGCTGTCGAGGCGGTGACGCCTCTCAACGAGGTTTTCTTTAGGATTTAGGGTTAGGGTTTCGGGTTTAGTAGTATTTAGTAGGGTTTAGGGTTTAGGGTTTAGGGTTTAGGGTTTCGGGCTTAGTCTGGGCATGTTCGGGCAGAGTTTGGTTTCTCAGAGAGGGAGTTGCAGGACAAACCTCCAGATGCTTTTACCTTTGCAACCAAGAGAGGGTGCCTGAGAAAAGGCTGCCGCACCTCAGAAAATGCAGTGGACGCGCCAGCTACCTAATCCTGACCCTTGGCATGTTCGAGGTGTCCCTTTATAGAGCTGAGGGTGTCCTTTCATAGAGCTGAAGCCACGAAGCCCAGCGTTTACTGCTTGCCAGCTCTGGACCCCGAAGCCCAACTCTGCGAACGGAATGCCATCGTCACCATTTGGGCCACTACCCCTTGAACAACGAGGCAACGCCCGCCTACCATTCTACTTGTCATGTCTTGTCCCCACCAGGGTGTCCTCAACCCTGGGCCCTGAACCCTACATAGCCCTAAACCCGAAACCCGAACCCTCAACCCTATGCCCTAAGCCCTAAACCCTAAACTAGGTAGCTTGCGTGTCCACTGCATGCCCTTTGGGGTTCGGCAGCCTTTTCTAAGGTACCCTCTCTTGGTTTGCGAAGGCAAAAGCATCTGGAGCTTTGGCGGTCCTGCAACCCCCTCTCTGAGAAGACAAATATCTGCCCGAACATGCCTAGACTCAAGAGTCCATACCCTCCAACCTTAAGACCCTCTAATTCTCGAAGCGCGCCCCCAACCCTCAAGCCCCAAACACACCCCAAACCCTGCTCAGCCTGCGATGATGCCAGCACAGTCCGCAACGCAGCTCGCATCCAGACTGCCCATGCGGCCAACGATTGCGATGCAGCTGTTCGCTGCCTGGATCTCGAAGTGAA